ATTCCAAGCATCACTACCCCCTCCTTGTGATTACCGTCGAGTTATTTTTAAAAAGTTTCATGAGCCTCATGTTAGTTCAGACGAGAGTATAAATTAAAAGAGGTCAAGGAAAAGATTTGGCTATGATTGACACAATAAGGAGAATCTCCCTAAACTAATAACCTCTTTGTTGTCAACTTTTCCCCTATTGTCATTTGGTGTGTTTCTCACCTCAGAACATAAAGAGGTTTCAGAATCAGAATATTACCTCGCCCAGAATAGTTAATGCTGGCCGATTGATTTCCTTCTTTTTTGAAAACGAATTTTGACGTTGACTGTTATGATAGAAAAGCGCTAAGTGCCTCTTGGTTTTACCGCAGAACACCTGTTGATCGAAATACATCACGATCTCACTTATTAATGTGTAGTTGATAGAGTAGTTTAAAGAATTTACTGGCTCGGCTCATATCACTTTAAGCCTCGTTCAGATTTTATTTACCTTAGAGATTGGTGCCTAAGCATGGATTCACCTGCCGTGCCAAAGTATCCTTCAATCAAAAGCCTGTACTTATCAGCCTCGTCTGCCACCTTAAAAGTAGTGTACTCAGCGTAGGTGATGTTGCCTTCAAAGTCTTCCAGCTCAACTCTCAGCATGGCGTCATTCGAGTCAGTTAAATGATGAAGATTATCGTTTCCAAGCCAGAACTCGCTATTAGGATTTCCAAAGCCGTATTTGTAAGATTCCCATCCTAGAAAAAAATCTACAGAGCCGTCTAAACGTTTCTGAAAAACGGTCCAACCTCCACCATCTGTATTCATGTCACACAACACTTGCACTGGTTTCCCGCCATCTGGATTGATAGTGTATACGCCACTGGAATCATAACCGTGTCGAAGCAGTTCAGCGCAGCTGTTTGGCTCTATAGCTATGAAATGGTACAAAAAAACAAGCAAACGAACAAACAGACATATAAACAAGTATACAAAAAAAATAGCTTAAATTGATTTGCTGAGTAAAATGTATCGTACTAAAGACAAAAAAACTGCCTAATAGAAGGGCACGTGACTCATGAACACTTATGAATAGTTGTTCTAAAGATTATTGCGAGGATCGTAGTTTCTTTCCAATGCTTATAAAGTACGTTTGAGACTTGTGGCTTGCGCCTCCTTCCAGTGTTGGTCTTCACTAGCGACCACGATACGCCTGAAACTCAGTAAGTGGTTGGGGAAAGTAATCCTTAATCAGGAGGCCATGGGTTCAACATTCGTTTAAGCCATCTAAGT